GGGAATCGGGATGAGCAGTTAACATGTTTAAGCTTCATAGTCCCAGTAAGGAGATTGGTGCGCGTGTTTGTGTGTATATATTGCATTTTTGTTTCCCGGCCCAGAAGAACCGCAGAGAGAGGCACCGCCAAGTGGTAACGCGACCTCTTACTGTTTAAGGTTTCCATGCACATCCCTGCTGCAGGAGCTGCCGGTGCTTTGGTGCCCTGCGGGCCCCAAGGCTCTGCACAGCCAATCGCATTGTAAGGTCGTACATCAGGCTTGCTGTTCCAAACCTTGGTCGGAATTCCTCCAATTGCGGATATGTCCCAAGCGAAGCACAAGTACCAATGAGATCCAGATAAATTATTCATTGTCAACAACATATTCCGACAAGTCGGACTAAAAGACTCATGGTCACGCAACATTCGGATCCCAGCGCAGCCAAAGCCCCGAGCTCGAAGAGCGAATTGAAGCTTTCACTAGGCGTGCCTGCAAACTCACAGTTTCTGCTCCCTGCCCTACTTGAAAAGCCATCTTGCAGGGCGAGGACTTTATTGAAAGCCTGGTCTGGACTGTCCCACTTAGCACGCCCCAAGCACAAGAACGCATGGGGAGGATCGGAACGCCCTTCGCAGCCTGACTCGCGGCACAGCTGGAATCCTTCAGGCGCCGGACACGTCGCATGGGCCTTGCCATGACCTTGCAGTGGTTCGTAATGAGTAATGTCTTATAGGGACGGCCTGGGGGTCCATACTGGTCCGCAGCCGTTTCTCAGCGCGCTCGGTTGTTCGGAATGGGGAGGTCACGAGAGTTCTCCAAAGATGATTACTAGTCACTAGTCGTTCCAGGTGTTGCGATCCTTCCCTTACGGAGATCATGGCCGATTGTGGATGATCTGCTTGCGAACTCGCAGGGAGGGAATGGGCTCAGGCTGTTAGTGAGTTGGCCTTCGAAGTCAAGTTGTGACCATTAAACTCACGGCTTGCTATTACGGTTCAAAAGGCTTCGCGGCGGCCGCTCTTCAGAGCTCTTGAGACTGAGGCATGCTTCAGGTTTAGGAGTAGGTTTTCGCAGGGCTTCTCCTCGGGTTATGCAGAGAGGTTCGTGCCAACCTGAATGTCCATAATGGACCAGTGGGAAGCATTCTAAATACCACGGATCCCAGGCTATTTATGAACCCAAAAGGCAAAGGCACCGGAGCCCGAAGGCGGCGCCTAAAAACGCTCTGAACTCCCTCAAAACTGGGCTGGCCACATGGCGATCGGCGATCAGGCTTGAACTTGGCCCCAAGACGCCGCCTAACATCGCAACGATCGGGGCAGCTTTCGAAGAACCTGTCTTTCCCTGCTGAAGCCATGCTTCCGCGAAATGCGGCCAGACGACAGAACAAGCCGTTCACAGCCCTCGAGTTTGAAGACATTTTGCAGGCCCAGCTCCGGCGAGCAGCCCTGGAGGGAGCTGAGACAGCCGGGGGTGCAGCAGATCTCCCGGAGTGTCCCGGTATGCGGTCAGGGGCTTGACTTCCGAATCGGCTGAGACTGATGATGAGGCTGAGGGTTTGGAGCGAAGCATGTTGTCTTAGCGGTAAAACTCAATCCTTTCATTTTTCCTGTTTCAAGGTCGCAGTGCAGGAGGGAAGCCCCTCCAAACGCAAGGCAACAGGCAGCAATCTTTGCTCAATCACCTGACAGGGAGTTGCCTGGGGACGTGTGCCGGCTTGAATCAGGAACCCTAGGCTAGACAGCAACTCAATTTTCATGCAGTGTCGGCCACGAGAATGACATGCAGCCAAGGTTCTTGATTCTCAGCCTAGTGGAGGCCGTGCGAGCCGTGTCAGGAACCCGAACGTGTCGATCTTTCGAGAAGTTGTGTTCGTTGTTGTTTGTAACTCCGTAATCGCATCTCACTCTCATGGTTCAGATTCAACGTCCGACGCTCTCAGCTTGAGATACCTCTCATTGCGGAGCTGTTGTAGTTGGAAGCCCCTGGCTGCATTCGCTGCCCTCCGAAGTAATGGAGTGCCGAGCAGTCATGGGCACAGGGCATAGATATTTGTGTGAGTGGCTCTCTCTCGCAGCAGCATCGACGAATCGGCAGTGTAGCCAAATTGTCAAGCATTAGCCGGTCAATCCTGCAAAGCCCGAGTCTGTCTTCTGCAGGCCACCGAGGGTGCGCGCTCACGACTCCAGAGGATGTTTTTGTGGATAGATGTGAGCAAAAGAGAGGGTTTTTCAAGCTGAGAAGTCGAGAAGCCGTCAAGCTGCCTTGTTCGGGAGTCGTCCTGTGTTGGCAGGAAGGCTTTGTCAGTCCTCTTGGAGGCGGAGCGCTGTGCTGGACAAGCGACGGTTTGGCCTTTGACAGATGCCTGGTAGCAGGTGGTGCCTGATGTTTGCCGTGGGTGGCTTTAGTGACTGAGTTTTGCCAACTGGGGTGTCGGGCACGAAACCGAAAGGCCTCGGCCTGAGTTCTCTCTGTAGCTGAAGTGCAGATGTGCGAATCTAGGAGATTCACACCACCGTCCGTGGTGCTCCTTGCATCGTCTTGGGCTTCTCGGCTGACTGAGCCGCCTCTAGGAGGCGAGGGCTTCGGCGTTTTCTAGGCCCCCGGATGTTTTATGACGTTTTTTTTGGTCCTTTGATGATGTTTTTTGTGTGTCTTGGGGTTTGCAACATCGTCGCCTGGAAAATGCGACTGGGGCAAGCCGTGACCTGATGATCTTGCCGGTCTGTGTTCGTGCCGGGCCGCCTGCGTAGCGTCGTACAGTGCACACACAGCACGCATATTTCTAGCCCTCTTGGAAGCATTGGTTTTCTGGGTTTGTTTCATCCTGTCGTGCCGAGCGAAAGCGTTTCCGGTAGCCGGTGGCCAATAACTTGTTCCGACTGTTCAAACCTCTGCACGGTTCGGATCGGGTCCAGCGGCGCTGCCAAACAGGCTGTTCCGGATGGGCGCCTACCTACGGCGAGCAGCTGGCCCTTGTGTCGAGCTTGCGGATCTCGCAGGGCATCGAGTTGGAGGCCCCTTCAGACCTCGAAGCTGCGGTGAGCAGCTGGGTTTTGTCCAGCTTGAGGCTGTAGTGACACTGTAGTGAGATGTTGGCAACAGCCCTCAGAAGATTGGTTTTACTCCGGTCAAGTCGAGCCTGCATCTCGCTTGTCCTGAATCCCGTATTCTCGGTTTAGTACAGCCCCCGCTACCAATGGACCAAGGAGGGTTTTCAGAAGCTTGAGTATATTAACTGAGGCTTCGGGATTTTAGGCTTCGGGGTTCACGGGATGCTGGAGTAATAGACTGGTGTGCTTTGCTCTTGCATCCGGCACCCTGGGAAAGCCAGAAGCGGAACTTGCAAAGTCATGGATGGTGAGAGGTCGAAGCGTCACGGTGGGGGCAGTAGAAACAGTACGGCAAGTTCAAAAGTATGCACACCTTCGTTACATCAGCAACCATCCGCATAGCCCCGGACGAACTCGTCCACATGCTGCTTCTGCTGACCATCCTCACGCTCATCCATCTTGAACTTCTGTACCATCTTGACTCTAAGCCCGGGCCCTTTGTAATTTCGGGTACAGGAGGGCACAGGGCACGGTACCAGGAGGTTTGATTGGCTTTTGCTACATTCCCGTGCATTTCCACATGGCAACGAGCCGTGTCAATAGCTTCAGGCATCCTTCGAAGTAGGAATTGACACTTCGCCATTGGCAGCCCCACCGAGTCGAGAGTTGGACCGCGAGCCTTTATGCTGCTGGTTCTTGTGCTGGCTGCAGTAGTGACCGTAAAGGGCAAGGAAGCAGGCAAGCTTCAGCTATCCCACTTGTGGTCGAACTAGTGGTCGAGTGGCTCTTGGTGCCGCAAGGCGAAGATGGTCTCTGCAAGCAGCCTTGGTGAGGAAGTCCGCTCGAAGCTGCCTTCCCGAACAGGGCCTGCCAGAGGGACAGGTGGAGCCTGAAAGCAAAGGTTCCAAGCTCGAGGCTGCTGAACCTTGTCATCCCAAAGGGGGGGTTCGGCAAAAAGGGATGGTGTTATTCTCGTGATGATGCTGGCTGGCCAAAGCGTTATGCCTCTTATAATTACATCGGTCGTTGCAAGAAGCTGCCGCGCTGGTGCTGTTGCCTTCCTGACGGCATTCAGGCTCGTCCAGCCTCGTGGGCTTGGGGCAGCACTCAAGGGCCTGGCTTTTTAAGTACTTCGTTTTGTGTTAGCCCGCCGCCGTATGTTGCATTTGCGACAATCACGGTGCCTGCGCAGTGTACAGTGTACAGTCTTTGCTGGCATGGCGAGGGAGCCTGTCGTTGTTGCAGGACGTAGTGTCAAAATAACCTTATGTGCAGCGAAAGCGGATAAGTCACAGGTAGCAATTTCAGCACCATTCACTGTAGAACTGGCGTGCAATTTGATGTGCAAGGTTGTGTCTACGAAACAAGGCTCACAGCTGGCCTGGGGTGCAGGGTCCCAGTCAGCTTGTTGGCAGATATGGTATGGCTTGGTGTCGGGTGTGGTATGACTCGTGCACGCTCAACGTTTGACAGAGGGTGGTCATTTAACGCAAACACCACTGCCACGAAATATTCGCGGCATAGTCGTAAGAGTACCGAGCAGAAGTCAGCCTTGCGGATGTGAGCGTTCAGCGTCATCTGCGGGGGTTGCTTTTGATACCTTACTATGTGTCAGTGTCAGTGACTGAAGCTAGTGCAGGAAATCCTTCAGGGTTGCGACGCTGCCAAGCTCTGACAGAAAAAACAGACTTCTTCGCAGCAGCCGGTCCGAGAAACGCGCGGGCCCCCTGTGAACTTTGGACATGGCCACGGCGCCTCGGCTCGAGGCTTTCATGTCGCGTCGGGGATGGAGACAGCAAGCTGTCATGTCCAACGCTTGCCTTTCTGAGTGGACTCTGGATGCCTGTGGCGCTCAGGTTTCTTTCTCGATGGCTTGAGCACTTTCAGGAGTCAAGGTTGAGCCACCCTTGTCCGGGACACTCAGGTGACCCTGACGACGCCGCGCTCGGCCCGCCTCAACCCAGGCGCGCCATTCCTGCCTGGCCAGAGGCCCAGATTTCTGCCACGGGTAGGCCATATGGAATGTTGTGCACGTGGCGGCGCTCAATTGAGATCTCAAGACTGACAGGAACAGCAAGTGGAAGTTTTCGTGCCACATGACATTTTGTGTCGCTGGTGGCCGTGAGACTGACTGATGAGGAGTAGGTCACCGGCGTCATTCTCGCAGGCTCTGCGCCATGTTAACTGTTAACACTCGTTAATGCCCAACGTGCAGGGGATCCACCGTCAGAATACTTTCTGATACAGGTGAAGAAGGCAGCAGCACGAAGTGGAGTCACACTTTTGGCGCGAAGACGACTTACACTAGGCTGCACATGTACCGTGAAGACTTCCCGATGCTCAGTAACTTCTGATCCTCAATAGCCTTCACGGCCAACATGCACGTGTCGCTACGCTCGTAGTGTAGAGCAATGAACGAGGAGCGAGAACAAAAGCATCTCTACTGCCAGTAGGCCAGCAGTCACCCACCAGTCACTTGGGGGTTCCCAGTTCGAGAGCTGGGCTGCCAAGGCTTTGTTCCTCACCAGATCAGAACCAACAATGCCAAACAGCGACTCGGCGGGCCTCTGTGAAATCAGAAAGCTTCAATGAAAGCATATCACAGCCTTGCCGGTGGTGTGGTGGTATTGCAGTGTGTGGCTGGGCCCTTAGTAGTGTCAAAACGTCTGCCTCAAGGTCTTCTGTGCGCGTTTGGGCACACAGACTAAGGAGATGAAGAGCGAGGGCGATATAGATGTTCCGAGCTCACCAATAGGCCCTACAAGCTCTTCAGAACCCACGAGACGGGTTGATGTGCAAACATGAGGCCTAGGCCTCCTTTAGAAAACAGATGCGCCTTCATGTTTATGGGCAGTGAAATTCCTATCTGGGGCCCTGCGTGATGAGCGGCCTGGGGGGAATGGAGATGAGGCCAGGACATTGGGATTGTTTTTTCTTTGTCGGGTTTCTTTAGTGAATCGGCCCAAGTAACAAGTGTAGTGTATGTACTACGGACCCCCCCCTCCCTCCGGCCCGACTCGCTCATTCATGCAACGGGTGACTGGGCGTGCCGATGGCTTGCGGGCTACTTACAGCCCCACGCAGCAGCAGGAGAGAGATGGAGTTGTATATTTGGTTTGCAGATCAGCACGTGACATAGGTGTGAGCTCCATAGTTACGAGGGGATATGAGGGGCCTTGGTCCAAGTCTCAGGCAAACACTTTCCTATGCTGCGGGCGGTGAAACAGACAAGCCGCTGACGGCAAGACAGAGCCATGACAGCCGATTACAGGGTCCTGGGGTAGGTTGTGTCCGTCGCTGAGCTTTGCAGCTAGCAATTCTTAAGTGGGCATGAAGTTCCTTTTCAAGTTTGTGACGATCGCGTATTAGGTAAGTTTACAGTGACTCGGTAGGACTGCTGTGTCAGTCATGTGGGGAGATCCGAACGTTGCAGCCCAGGAAGGTGGCATTACCAAAGATAGACTTGCTCGGCCCTCGGCAGAGCTTCACATTCGGTTCGTGTGGTTCTTGCGGGTAGGACAATGAACTGCAAGGTGCTGCATCTGCCGGCTGAGGTCCGTCGTGGAGCACTTGAAGAATCCCTTCCACCGCTATGACCTGTCAGCCCGCTCCTTCACCCACGACGAGAAGCGAGAGATGAAGGCAAGAGTCTTAAACGTTCGGCAAAGCCACATAAGCCCGAGTCCTGCATTGGCTCCTCCGCCCAGGACTCTGCCCGAAATACTTACCGGCCCGACTTGCAGCCTGCGTGGCTGAAGCATGACCGTCACGTTCTACGGCTCCTTGGCCTCCGTATCCCAACGCCACTTCTGGCAACTGCTTTGCCTCACAGTCCAGAGTGGCGATCCAGTGTCATTGGAACAGGTTCTATGCCTACTTCCAGGACATGCCTTGATCTCGTGTGTCTTTTGGTTCGCAGGGTAGTGGTTGTGCACGAACTCCCTCTCGCCTCAGGAGGCCGTGCACGAGAACCCGAAGGACCGGCTGCAAGGCTTTGTCCAGGGAAGTACCAGGAAAGGCAAGTAGGAACAGGACAGGCGCAGCAGCAAGGGCAGGCTCGACAGTAGCAGGGGCAAGAGTTTGAACAAAAGTCAGCAGACAGTGTAAGAGTAACGCCAGCGCGAGCCACGGCGACTGGCATGACTTGTGACCCGTGGGAAAAGTGTAGCCACGAGGAGAGTTTCCGGATCCGAGCTTGCAACGTCTACTTCTACCTGGAACCTTGGAAGAAGAGGGTCACAATGCGAGCCAATAGCGGATGAGGGGTTCAGAACGGAGCTTTAGGTCGCACACTGCTTGCAGCATCGGATGCTTCTGCTGCCGGAATGTGCCTTTGTCTTTGGACATGCGAGAAGTTCTACGTCTCAGTAATACCCAAACAGGAAGGAGGTCGTGTGTTGGTCTGGTAGCGCTGCCAGGTAGCAATCGAGAGGTCCCAGCTCGTGCTGCCGTGATTGCGTGCTATCTCTCTGGCGGTGTTGGCCATCTTGTATTGCAGGGTATAAGGCTTAAGGGTTGCTGCCGTGCTTTCTGCGACAGTCCTGCGTGCACTTGCGACCCAAGCCGCACTTCTCAAAGCCATTTTGGCTCTAGCAGCCTGGCTCTGAGCAAGCTCCGCCAGCCGGACAATTGCCCCGCAGGAAGCTTTCTGCTGACCAGTCGTCGCCATCTGCGCGCCATGGGTGGCTACGGCAAAGCAGGCGGGAAGGGCATGAAGGGCAAGTCTGGCAAAGGAAAAGGAAAGGCACCGATCGATGATTGGGAAGAGTTCCCCCCTATGTCAAAGGGCAAAGGCAAGGGGAAGGGAAAGATGGAATCCAAGGGAAAAGGGAAAGGCGGCATGAAAGGGAAGGGAAAGTCGTCCTGGGACTATGAGCCTCCGATGCCCATGAGCAAGTCCAAGGGCAAGGGGAAGGGCAAGGCCTACGACGCCTACGACTACGAGTACGAGGAGTACTGGCCAACACCTGCCCCCGCCAAGGGCAAGGGAAAGGGAAAGGGAAAGAGCTGGACCGATTACCCGGAGCCTAAGGGCAAGGGCAAAGGAAAGGCCAAGATGGACATGGGCATGAAAGGAAAAGGCAAGGGCAAAGGAAAGGGCAAAGGAAAGCCCATGATGTACGACTACGAGGAGGACTATGCACCCCCCATGAAGGGGAAGGGCAAAGGCAAGGGCAAAGCCAAAGGCAAAGGCAAGATGGAGATGGAGCCGCCCATGAAAGGAAAGGCAAAAGGCAAGGGCAAGGGCAAGGGCAAGGGCAAGAGCAAAGCCCCGCCCATGGAGGAGCCCATGAAGGGCAAAGGAAAGGCCAAGGGCAAAGGAAAGGACGGAAAAGGCAAGGGAAAAGGAAAGGGAAAGGGAAAGCCTTGAAGCACTTTCCCGACGAGGAGATGCGTGGCAGCTACGAGCAACTGCATTGCATGTGCGTACAGAGTTCAGGGGGTCATCTCGATTGCCTACCGATGTGAATCATGCGGTGAAATCCTTGATCTCAACCATTGCCTGCAGTCAGTTGAATTTTTAAAAAGACTCCCAATTCGGCGGCTGGGCACTTTGCACAGCCACAAAAGCGCCACGATGTCTCTTTGTTCCAAGGTGCTTTGCAGGAGAGAAGCATCTAGACTCTAGTCCACATTCTCAGGCTTGGGTATGCTGCGAAGATGAACAAACTCCAGGGTCTGGCAGTCTTACACAGGCACGGGCATGTTCTCACAGCTGCGAGGCTATCTTCGTGTTGCGATGGGAGGTGTTCTAGCAGCAGATATCACAAGCCTTCGATGCAAGCTGGCAAGGCCTCTTTCATTTCTGGGCTTTGCTGGCGAGTTTGCATTTTCATTTGTTTGATACCCTCTGGGTTCAGCCGCCATCCCTGTAGTCGCCACGGCACAGCTTGACAAGTACAGCCTCAAGAGCCGGAAATGGTGTAGAATCAACATGTTCAAGTGGCAACTGGTTGGCTGGCGAGTCTGTGGTATCCCTCAGCTCTGCCTCATGATTTCATGTCCAGGTGTAGCACATCCGGTTTGTACACGTCTTCAATGTTGCAACACTGGCGAAAAATGCGCGAACTGCTGTAGTCCAACTGTAGTTTCTGCCTGTAGCTGGGTAGACTGTGTAGACAATCTTGAGTTGAGCACCTGCACATGTCAGGTGTCAGTTGAAGGTTGTGAAGGCTTGGGTTTTGGCTTTTCAGCATTAGCCGTCACCTGCAGCCGCCATCAGATTGTGCTTTTGACAGCCTAACAAGTCTCAGCGCCCGAACGCCTGTCCACTTTAGCCACGGCAAGGAAGATGGGACGATGATGGTGACGGAGCCTTGACATGATATTTCTGGATGGTCTTACCAGCCCGACCCTTTTCTGGTGGCTGGTTGTTTGTGGTAGGGACATTTTTTGGTTCACATCGTGCAGGACGGTATTCAGAACTCTGCAGAGTGTGTATGCGCACCGCTCTCGGGTTAACTGCGTGCACACCCGCACTGTTGGAAGTAAAACCCTTCCTCACGAGGCAAGCTAACAAGACTAACAATCGTCTTTCCAGCCAGACTCTGCCACATGCATCTAAGACACCGAGTGGATTCGAGGGGTTTAAGATTCGGTTCTTGCTCGGGACATTGCGACACAAGAGTCCCCGACAGGATCCTGTTCTGTTTGTACAGAGGTGCAGAAGTACGACTTCAGGTTGCGACTTCACTTGCTTTCGATGTACACCATCCTCAGCTGTGACGAATCCGGCCGCCAATGACACCACGACCGTTACGAGCAGAACCATCATCCCCTTTTGGGTACTAGTCATAGTCATTCATCACATGCTCAGGTGGTTCCTCGAGTTAACTTGCAAGTTGACTCTGCTCCCCCTTTTCTCGCAGGAGCCGAAGGTCGAGAATTCGGGGATTACGCAGGGAACCTTCGTGAAGCGGCACCGCATCCCAAAGCCCGAAAGCTTGGGAGGCGTGGAGCTGTGGTTGAGGTTTGGAAACCGGTTTGCGGGTTAAGGTCCCTAAGCAGTGTTCCCGGCGACTAGAGCCCGGCTGCAAAAGGGTTTGGGGCACCGAACACAAGGTTTTTTGGGCTAGCTTTCAGCGTTCAGGACAACTAAATTTTGGGTTTGGTTTAGGGTTTAGGTGGGCGATGCGTGTTGCGGTGATAATCAGGCGATTGCACAAGTCCTGATGCAAAAACGGGTTCCGGGATCCAGAGGTTTTTGGGTTTTGGTTTAGGGTTTGGGTGTTTCGGGTATGGTAGAGTTTCAGGGTTTACAGTTAACGGACCCCATCGTGTTTTGGTGGGTTTGGGGATGTTTAGGGTTTTGGGGCCCCGTAGTGTAGCGTTTTGGATTTAGTATAGGGTTTGCGGTCAACGCTGCTTCAGGCTTTGTACGGTTTTGGGTTTAGGTCCAGGGGACCTGGCAACCCACAACTCCAATGGTCGTTGGTGGTGTCTTTCTCTCTTACCACAAATGAAACGCCTGCTGAGCACGAGTTAGTCATCCTCCTCGTGTTTAGCGGCGTGGATCATACAGCATTGAACTGCAAATGGTAGCATGTGGCGCAGCAACACAACTTCGAAATTGCAAGTTTTGTCAGCTTCTGGTGTTGCCACAGGTGCACTCAGGTGCAGGCGTGTGAATTTGGTGGGGGCGGGGGTGTGAAAATCTGAGCGTGCTCATCACGCTGTACTTTGCCCCTTGCAGGTGGCGTGTATCGATTCGAGGACTTTCAGGCAGGACTTGAAACTGCTGATGGGAGCAAGGTGTGCACAAGGTCGGTCAGGGGCTGATACTGGGGACTCGTTGTCACAGTGAGAAAGCACTGTAAAGACAAATCTTTCGTTGTTGGCGAAGAGGTGCTTTCCCGGTAGTTTACCTACACCTTTTGCATCGTAGGTTCGTCCTAGACAGGCGGGAGGCAAAAATCTGTCAACAGGTCCCGCCCTGTCTCCCACTACCTTACCAGCAATTCGCAAGCGTCGGTGAGGTTGGTAAGGCCATCTCAGTCTACTCCCGTGTCTTCCGGCTCATCGGCTGTGACGCCTACACCAGGACCTTCTACGAGGCACCAGATTTCAGCGGTTGGGTCTGGGGACCCCTCTTCAGTTTGACAACGGTTCTTAATGTGGGGCCCTGGCCCAGCAGCTTGAGCGCAGCACGTAACCCTCCTTCACATCCCCATCATTTCCTGGTTGCGGTCCTGCGCTCTGGATGCCTGCGGTGAGTACGAACCCTTCGTCTAGATTCTGGATATTTTACGCGGAACTACCGTACACACACTTGAACCTTGGAGGCACAAATCTGACGTATCAATAGTTCCCCAGTTCCAGTGCACCCCGCACACGCTGCAACAAGCCCAGTCTGCCCTGGGCCACACGATGCCGGAGGACGAGGACACCTGGTCAAGTTGCGCATGATCGATTGATCTAGTCGTGATATGTTGCGACGCTTTGGATGCGCAGTCTTTTGAGCACCCAGGAGCTCCCCATGGACTCCTTCAAAGCGGCTGACCTTCCCGACGATGAGGAGCTCGTATCTTCAAGGTGCGAGCAGTCCGCAAACCTTCGAACAAATCGCCCCAGTTCGCTCCAAGCTGCAATTGTGCTTTTTCGCCTCGCAAAGTCTCCGAGGCGCGCAGCCCTTCAAGAAGCCAAGGACCGCTTCTAGAAGCATTCCAGAGGTCAGAAATTCGGGCTGGCGACCTTTGGGTTTGACGTTTGACTAAGGCCGCATACAAGGTAGATACCGGCCGCCAGTAGCCGGCTGTGGAAAAAAAGGAAGGGCCTGTTCACTTGAGCTGCCACGCCCTGTCGCATCTTGAGATGGCACAAACCCAAGCGCTCGTTGCATCAGCCAGCGAGGCATACAACGAGATTGCCGTGGGAGGCTGCTGCAGAAATGAGAAGCTACAGCAGTATCTGGAGAACGATCGGAAGGTTCTGCGCTTCAACACCTTCTGGGATGACCATACCAAGTACGGCTCGCGCAAGCCGCTCGACCTCGACATGCAGCGGAGATGCTTGCCGTTTTCTTCTGCAACTTAATTAGGAAACTTGCCAGAATATTTCTTGCCAGCTAAGATTGTCGATGCAGGCCATGCAGTCCCGTAGGCTATCTTAAGCAGATTTACCAAAGACGCAGAGCTCCATCCGGCAAATTTGCCGAGTGAAGGTATTATACGATGCACTACTACCTCGCAGATGACACGATTGAGATGCTGGAGAACATGTCAAGGAGACCCATGCAGGGGAGAAGCGACCGCGTTTGCGGAAATTTCTGAAAGTCCATGTTGCAACTTGCCGTTCCTGATTTCAGCATTTGCAGCTTGCCCACTGATTTCTCAAAGGGTGTCTTACACAGTGGCAGGAATGCAGGCTGTGCTCCATACCCAATGTTTTGGCGGCGGTCGCCGCTGAGGAAGACTCTCGGCTTGAAGTCGCAGCCTGCCCTTGTAGGGCATGTGCCTTTTTTGATGATGGACTTCGTATCTTTGTTACGGTTACGCTTGCCCTTGCTATCGTCCGCAAATAGTTCGGCTACCTTTGTTGCCTACCTGTGTTTCAGTGTTTCAACAATTCTTTTTGCGATGCCCACTCTAACGTTGAGGTTCTTCTGCAAGCATAAGGAAGAAACCCTAGACTGCTCTCATCAAACTTCAGCCAAAAGCCGGAAGCCTCCTTGGGACAACGAACAATTATGTGATCCAACTTTATTCTACTAGCTGATGGGAAGACCTTAGAGCTGATACTGATGCCTCCGGATCGGTCATTGAGAGGACTGCTTTGCCATTGCTCGTCTTGACATCGAAAGTTGCATCTCAATACGTCCAGGATTTAGTTCTGACGGGAAATACGGAAGGAAGTCGTGACTATGGTCCTGGCGAGGGAGACAGCGAGCCCCACATGAACCGCGATGTTTAAGTCAAGTCCGAAGCCTCTAAGTAGACGAAGTAGACGCGTTTGATGTCATGGTTCCTTGCTGGGCGTTGTCTTTGTGTTGATACTGTCACGAGGGTGAGGGTCGCGAGTGCTGAAGGAATCCATACATCGCCCCGGCGCCCGGAATGCTCGAGCCCCCGCCGCAGATTTACAAGCCTGAGGCTGGGCCGGGTTTGGGTGTCCAGGTAGCTACTGACACTCTGACACACCAGTGCTTCACTGAATAGCCACAACAACTAAGATCGAATACAGTGAGCATTCGCTTTCATGCCCATGCGCATGAAACTTCGCAAGTCCTGTTACAACCATGCTGGCACCCGTCGCATTCAACCCAATGATGCTAAGAGCGCTGGCTCACTCTTATGGAGTTTGCGGCGTGTGACCTGAGTTTGAGCAATAGATTCCGCTGTTTTTATCCATGCTGACATATCTTTGCATTGGTGAGCATGTCGCCAGCTTCTTTTTCTCGAGCCTTGGTGCAGATGCCTCAGTGCAAGGGGCCTGTAGCTTTTCCAGGATTCGGTCTAACTTTTCCGGTGTAACGATACGGGCTCAGCAATTTAGGGCTTTTCAGCTTTTCTTACATCTTCTCTTTGAGTTTGCGCGGTTGGGTTCGTTCGTCGGTCTGACTTCGGTCCGAAGGCGTGGGGACACCCGTGTGCCAGGATCTCATAGTTGGCGAGACGATTGATGTCTTGGGCCGTGAAATCGTGATCTACGACTGCGACGACTTCACCCGCAGCTTCTACAGAAGCTACATGGGCTTGGAGCAGGACGTCGGGGTCACTTCAGAACTTCAGGGCAGAGTGCCGTAGCCCCCGTGTTGCACATGGCCACGATGAACATGCAAGGCCAGCATCAAGATCGACCACCCGCCTTTGACCCACGACGCTAGGCCCAAATTGGGGGACAGTCGAGCAAGGTTGTAGGGTCATGATTTCATTGCTGCACGTGTCCGTTGACGAATTTACTGCTGCGAATCCAAGGCAAAGCTCAGGTACCCACCCTACAATGGATTCGGGTCTGAGGACCTGGGCCGTGGAAATCCGGATGCCTTCTCCGCAACGCTTTCAGCCTTCGGCTCCCAATTCGGCCCCTGAAGGAAGACTCCCTCGCAAGCTGCAAGGGCCTCATCTGCAAGCCTCCTCGGCGGGATGAGCAGAAGGACGGGGGATGAAGTGCACCCGAAGCAGGTGGCCACTAGGATGGATTGCCAGAGTGACCCTTGGCCGAGCCTAGGGGATAAGGGCAGGCTGACTGCTGGTGTGCTGAAGGAGCTGGCAGACGCGGACAAGGCCGGGGAAGGGGCTGAGATCCATTTGGCTCGCACCACTGCCGGCTCGTGCTTGTACGCGTCCGTGTCATCGCTTCTGAACGCTGATCGCGGAAGGTGCTCCGTTTCGAGGCAGTCTTGGCAGATGATGTGGAGGACATTTTGCCCGAAGCGGGAGGGCCGGCACTTCCGCTGTTGGGATGACACGAATTCAGCAGATCTTGGGTGGAAACCTGACCTCTCTGGGCACACAAGAGACCGAAGGAGAATGAAACCAGAAGGTTCGTGGTGGCGATCTGGCTCGGAGACGACAGTGTTGGTGTCCCTCGACCGTTCATGCGACTCTCTGCCTGTGACTAAAAGATCCAAAAGTCCGGAACCACATGCCGGCAACAACAGGTCAATCCTGGCCTGGGACCACGAGATCCTTAAGCCGTAATCCGATGCTAGACTAGTTTGCAATTAGTACAGGAAACCACCCAAACCACAGCAACAGTTGCAAACGGGGGCGTCTGAACCATCGAAGTCTTTGCCCCTAAGGCCGGGTCACACCCCCTTGCACTCACATGTTACGCTGCATTTCTTGACCGTCAGTCTCAGGCACAGTAGCTGAATTTTGCAGCATTTTCCAAATCCGCGTACCGTGAAGAATTGAAACGTCAAAAGACGAAAGGTTTGGGAGATCAAGCAGCGAAACTCTGGGCACTCGGCAGGCAACATGGCCGAAGCTTCATGTGCTTCTGCAGTTCATGACTTAATGAGTCGCCGTATTTGTTGTTTGGGTTTCATATAGCGCTTCTTAGGTGTTAGGTGTTGTTGCTGATCCTAGTTAGGTTGACGAGTGGCAGGTTGCGAAAGTCATACCGCTTGCCACCAATCCGTCCACTCCGCTGTTCGGTCTGTTGGTTGCTACGGTAAGTTCTCGTATGTCGCTAGGCTGCTGCATTGGTCTCCCGCAGCTAGGTTCTCCTGTTGAGCATGACCGTGGTGCTGGTGGTGGTGGTGGTGGTGGTGGTGGCGGCGGCGGTGGCGGCGGCGGTGACTGTTGCTTGCTTTTGCTTTTTCTTTATTGTTGCCGTCCTGTCATTTGTGAAAACCAGGCGGCCGACAAAGTTAGCCAGCGCCCGACGGCATAAATGCCAGGACCGTCTAAGCAGATGGGGCGGTGGAAGGTACAGCAGAGACGGTACCGAAAAGGGTATCATGCTGGCACTATTGCGTCTTTGTCAGACAAGTCGTGCTATGATCACCGGCGCGGCACCAGTATCACCCGACCACGACAAGGCAGCAGCAACCTTTGGTCTTACTATTCAATAGTAGGTGGTGGTGGTGGTAGCAGAGCTAGACTAGTGTTGTTGTCTGCTGATAGTTGTGAGTCGTTCGCACACGGCCGCGGCCGAGGCAAGTTTGCCAGCAAGTCGCGCAAGAAGAACCCCGCCACAGGCAAATGGTTTAAGCCCGGGACCTGGTCTTTGCTGCGATCGATTGCGTTTCGAATATGTCTATGCAGAGAATCTAGTCGGGCCCTGCACATCAAGTTTTGAAAAATTGAGCATCCGATGCGCCATCTGAATAGCCGATCTTCAGGAACGAAAGCACGTCAGGCAAACAGATGGTTCTGTCGCGTAGGACGTGCTGCTAACTACCGGTGTATCATTTCGTCCATATTGGTGCTAGTACTCATTCTCGTGCTGACCGGTGTAGTGGTGCAAGCTTGGGGCCAGCATGATGAAGATCCTCCTCCTCCTCCTCCTCCCCCCTCCCCCCCGCTAAGCACTGTCGGAGCCCAGGCCGGAAGAGTTCTACATCGGTGCCACAGTGGCCATTAGTGCCAGCCCTTTCCACCTCACCGGTGCTGATGAGAAGGCACCGGCCCTCCTGCCATCACATTCGCACAGTCTAGACAGCCACTGCAACCAGGCACTTTGCTACATGGAGGAGAACTCAGCACAATTTGTGGTGTCGAATGCCCCTGAGCTGGCAGCAATTATGCTTTTGCCTTTGGCAGAGAGTGTCCACGGAATGTCCAGCCCAACTGCCCTCCTCGAAGCCAGCGAGCCCTTTCACCACACCGGGCCGAGAGCTTCAACTGCTGCACTGTTTCCGAGGTGGACGCCATCCTTGTCAAACTTCGTGGCCTGAAGGACTTTCGGCGGCTGGCTTTCGGTCCTCAGCCAGATTATACTAACTACCAACTACTACCCAAACCACTAACTACGACCTTCTGCCTACTACATACTACAAATGGCCATTACCACCACAACAGCTACCACTACCACTACCACTACCATTACCACGACCACAACCATTCACCCCCACCCCCACCGCCACCGCCACCGCCACCGCCACCGCCACCGCCACCGCCACGACGACGATGACGACTGCTGTAACCCCACGACTTCTACGGCTGCTGCGGCTACCACGACTACTACGACTACAACGACTATTATTGCGACTCCACTACGACGATTGCGGCTACTGCTACTGCTACTACTACTACTACTACTACTACTGCTACTGCTACTGCTACTGCTACTACTACTACTACTACTACTACTACTACGACGACGTGTACTACTACAGCTGAAAATCCTGCTGCTACTATTGCTACTGCTGCTGCTGCTGGCACTGCCACTGCTACTGCCACGGCTGCTGCTGCTGCCGCTGCTGCTGAGCTGCGGCTGCGACTTGCCACTATTCGGCCACTGCTTTTCAGTAGAAATTGGGCAGCTTAAGTCTCGGCTCCGATTGGAAAAACCTGTGGCTGGAAGGAGCACTTGCAGAAGCAGAGCGGGTTCGTCAGCGGCGCGGGCCCCCGGTCTTTTTCGGAAGCAAGAGTTCGACCATGGAGCGGAGTGCGCAAGATGGATCTCGGAGGAGGGGAGGAACGCTGCTTGTGGAACTTCCGTGGGGTGCTAATTAGATGGCTGCGACAGGTGCGAGTCGGGGATAGGTGCGTGTCCCAGGGCAAGCAAGCAAGCGAGCAAGCAAGCGTCCTGTGAGACACAGTTTCATCGACTGTGCGTAGGATTAAGCCCTCCGGCACCCAGTACCGATTTGCTCGCAAGAGCGATTGCATGAGAGCACTGGGATCTCTGGACTGCCTGAGTCCTTGTATGCGCTAATTTCGTGATCGCATTTTGTAACTGCTGATGTGGTGCTGCTCCAGGCGCAGGTCTTAAAAGGATGGCCGAGGACTGGCCGAGTTAGGCCTAGGGCTGGGGCTCCACCATCAGCTGGTGTGTGAAAGGGCAGGGCCTAAACCCAGCAGGTGTTTGTGGGCTCCCTTCCACAGGACCGAGGCCTTTCGCTCTGCGAGCACGAGGTGCTCACGCTTTCCCGGCGCTTCGGCCCCTTGAAATGCACTGAAGGCAAAACCTACGGCCGCCTTGCGGGCCTGACCTTGCCATGCGTTTAGCATCGAAATTATCTACGGGCACAGTCCGGGAAGCCAGCGCGGCCCTTTCTAAGCTCAGCGACCGACCCTAGCCTCCGAAGACCAGTATCGCTACAGACCTTGCCTGGCTTGTCCGAGTGTGAGTGTCAAAACCTTGCCGAAATTCTGATCCCTCCCCAACCCTGCAGACCCCTTCCGCAAAACATGCTCCTTGCGCAGAAACCTTTGCTGAGCTTGGGGTTTGCAGGAAGAATTGGACTGTTTGGTGATGTTTGGTGCTTTATTACAGCAGCTTCAGGTTTCATTTTTTTCAGAGTTGCGATGGCTTGGGCGATGCAGTGGTCGTGCACAAGCTACCTGTCAACCGAATGTTGAGTTTAAGATGGGTATTACATGAGGTGTTGCACTCCATGGTGCGCAGTACTTAGCGCATCCATGGTCAGGCAAGTGCCAGCAAATAAAGAAAGACCAGGCGCTTGAGCCTACAGTTTGCAGGCCGATCCGATTGCTCGGCTAATTTCTCATGAGCACAACCAACATGACGTACGACCTAGAGATTATTCAGCGCACTTGCTCTCAAGCCCTGCAAGCCCAAACCCGAGGCACATATGTGTGGATTTTCGGAAAGTCTGGCGTCGACGCTGCCAAGCTGGCACAGGCCCTCGGATGACCCGAGGCCGCTTCAAAAGAATCCTTGTCTGGTCAAACAAGATGGGTTCGCTCATGAATTTTGCTATTCTGAGCCGGGGTTCAAGGCTTTGTCGGATGCACTCGATTTTTCAAGGGTATACGGTGTATACCCAGGGAAGATGGCAACGATGCGGGCGAGCGCGCACAGGTCTGTGGCTGAGGCAGAGTAGCACCACGCAACAGCGGGCTTGTGGAGACCGCACGTTTGATCACAAGTCGCACCACTCCGCACCACTTGGTCCCCAGAACTGAGCAGTATAATTACTACTATGAGCAGGGGAAAATCGTGAAGAATGATCGATGGCATCGCTGGATCTAGTACGGGCAACGGAAGCAAGAAGACCTTGCTGGAAACGAGAGCTGAAGCAACACTAGCAAGAAGAATATCGGAAAGCAGCATTCCCCAAATCGCACTACAGGCAATGTTATCATCAGTATCTACGTCGAAGGCGGTGGAATCATGATTGAAGTAACAGGACAGTCGCAGGTGAAAGAGCACTACACTTGGATTCTGTTCAGGTGTTGTCATTCAGCAAATTCTGAAACGGGTCCAACAAGATGCTGCCTTGGGAGGTGGTGCCGTGCCTCGAAACAGGCTTCTTCAAGACTAATGGTGGTGTATAGAGACGTCTCACCCTTGCGGTCAGGAGTTATGCAGCCTGTTCATGACTTCATGCTATGTGGGCCGAAGTCTTGAAACTCCTGTCGTTGACGATGATCTTACATCCAGTGTGCGCAGCAGCCTGAATCGGGAGTGCTCTGGCTGCTGGGCAATTTGGGGTGGCCAGCTACACCGGATGCAAGACGCATCTGTTAGTCGCGGCTTTCTCCATGATCCAGAGCCCCGAAGTTGATTACTACAGCTCAGCATGGTTTGGACATGATTTATGTAGTGCCTCGGTTTGATATTGCCGACTTCCTAAGTTAGGTGGGCCCAGGATTCCAGGTTTTTGGGCGGTGTTCCCACGTTCTCCAGGAACTGCTTTCCACTGGGATTCGCACAAAGTACACGACGCATAGCATAGTAACCAGAGTCAGGCTGTGTGTTTGTCTTCTCAAGGCCAGCTAGACTCAAACAGAGCATTATTGACTAACTGGGAAGCCTCAATCGAACAACCCGACCCGAAGTTGTGAGCCCTTTGCGAGGGAGGTCGTTGGGATCCCTTCGACTTGAGGGATCTCAAAGCATCGTGTCACCTCGCTGAAAAAATGGTGCCGCCCTGATCTACTAAAGCATTAAATCCGTAGCCAACCATTTGCGAGCTTTGCTTACACAATCGGGGTTCCCCGGCGGGAGCAGATGGCCAACACCTGGAACGCATGTCCGTTGCGTTGTATATTGGCGCAACTAGCATGGAGAACAATATTTTTACTAGCCTTAGAAGCACAAGAAGCCCAAGACACAGCTTCAACAGCAAGTGGCAAGAGCGAGACTGATCATACCAATGCAACATGTGACAGTAAATGCTAATCAGAGTCATACCGAGAAGGAGTCAACACCTTCGAGACGGGAACGGACATTGCAACGTCAACAGCAGCAATGCCACAACTGCAGCAGAAACACCAGCAATATCTGCATCTAACCACTTCTTAAGTCTTGGCTTGACATGTTGTTTTCAATGCCAATGTGGCTCCCTGTTTGCATCCCGCTGTTTTTGATTCATGGAGTGCCCAGCACCGTCGATCGCGTCGTGTCCTCTTTGTCGAAGTGATAAACTGTCACAGACGTTCTGTACTGCCATCGGAGACATATCGGCATGTCCTGATAAACTCCCGGAGCCCGCATGCTTGGATGTGTTTCTTTGGAGCAATAGAAACTGTATGAGGCTTGTCGAAACCTTGAGGGCTCTGACACAAGGCAAGCAAAAGCTCAATAGTTTGGTCAGAAGCCATCACTGCCCAGAACTACACAACCATGGTGTGCAATGGGATCTGAGCCCGACCTGGACGCGCTGTTCGGTCCCGGCGAAGCAGCCGAGGCACCCCAGCTGGAAAAGCAAGGTCTGACGGTGAGATGTCAGCACAGCAATTTAAGTTGGTCTGGCCGCGAGTGACCTTCTGCGGGCAACCTAGGCCCTAGACTGTCGAAACGCACAAAGAAAGGGCTTTGACCCGCAACCAGAGAGTGTGCGTGTGTGTGTGTGTACTGTTCTAGTTCATGGGCTACGGGGGGTCACGCGGGGGACGGATGGGGTGTACGGGAGCTCCGTCCAACGAAGCTTTCCCGTAAACCCCAGGGACATATACCTGCATTGCCTGTGCCTGAGACCTCAAAATCCAAGACACAAGAAAGCCTTTTCTTTTCGTGTGGCCGTGTCCGAGTTGCGAGAGCGTATATCCTTTTCGACACCCCTGCGGCCCTACGAAGTCCAGGGAAGCCCATATAGAACCCTCTTAGAACGCTTTCAGCACGCTTATAAAGCCCTTATAGCAACCCGAACATAGGAGTCTGAATAGAGATCTACAGCGCCAAGGCGCCTGGTGCTACACCTGAGTCCCACGTGCAGCAGGTGCGCCCAAGGGCCCATGGAACGGAATGGAACTGACACCGGTCTTCAGCAACCAGCTGTGTTATAGTTACAGAGTTATTACTGGGATATGTTTCTGCGTCGAAGGCTATGTTTTGCGTATTACTATGTACTACTACTAGTGCTGCCACGCGCTTACAACGACTGCTGCTGCTGCTGATGCCGCCGCTGTTGCTGCTGCTGCTGACGTATTGCAACTCCCGGTAGAATTACTGCGCCCATTACTACGAGCAATGTTTCCATAACGATGATCGTCGATGACGACGGCACTACTGCCGCTGCGACTCTTACCAGTGTCGCTGACTGCATGGACTGCTGGTGCGTGTACTATGAGTTGTGTGCTCGTTCTTCTTATGGTTCTTTCGCCTGTGGTGTCCAGTTCCTGTCTTAGCCCAAATGGGACCTGCGAGCGCTTTCACATACGTTCACTAAATTGTCAAAAAGAAGTACACCAGGAAGGCGAACAGCGGTGAGAAGACAGGAGCCGTACTGAGTGATGTATGGTTTGAAGGAGAAGAGATTTAGTTCGGAGGTGCATCCCATTGCAGGTTCATCCTGCGCTTCGCTCCGCAGTTGAGACCTTCGTGGCAGAGGCAGTGGTTTCTTCTAGCTGCTGGTTCACACATGTAGAGTGTAGAGGATCTGCTGGATTTAGTTCTGGAGAACACCTTTCTTCTGCTCTGCGTTCCTTCCGCTCCGCTAGTCCTGGCCTCGGGCGCGTGCGGAGCTCGTCGGAGCGGAGAGCGGTGAGCAGACTAGCAAGGCCTGCTTGGGCGCTCTTGCTTCCGCAGGATTGAGCGACCGCTCTTCCAAATTTCAAGTCCGGAACCAGGCATGGCGAACAGAGGAGCCACAGCAATTGGTAATATTGGTTTTCTAGGCAATCGCTGACCACCTAAAGGCTTTCAACTGTGTATCAGCTCGACCGCGCAAGGAACACGATGGGCGATGGTTAAATGGGATTCAAAACGGAATGATGCAGACTTTCAGCCATGGAACGATGACCCGACTTGCCGAGGAGTTAATCTGCTCCAGGCACTAATTCAACAACTAGCACTTAACAAACACTAACACCACACCACCACCACCACCACCACCACCACCAATGCACATGTACGTCGACGACAACACGAAGAGACCAACTCAATTCTTCTTTGCCGCTGCTGCCGCTGCTGCCAGCGATCCTGGCCATCATCGTCCTCATCGGCATAGCAATGGAAACATGTTGCAAGCTTGGGTGGTACTACTCGAAAGTGTTGTGCAAATGGCAATGCGGACCATCAGCTGACTCAGCGCCCCCACGTCATCTTTCTCGCACGTTAGGCCCACTTGGCCCAGAAACAACCGTCGTCAACATCGTCAGCGTCACCACCAGAAGCCTAAATAGTGGCATCATCGCAAGAGCCAGCGAGACTGCCGCATTGCGCATTTTGTCAGGGAGCCCGGCCACCACTTCCGGCTTCCCTAGCACGGGATGTGGATGCAGCCCTGGCGGCGGAGAGCTGCGGTGAAGCTTTACTTCCATCAATGCAGCAAGTGATAGTAATGTGCGTTGGTTCGGTTGATTCCTTTGCACTAGATCGTAGCCTGGCGTCAGGCAGGGCTTTTGTCAACTGTAAGTGCCGCAACACGCACTCTCGGTGCATAGCGCTGTTACGACGATCCGTGTCACAATGTTCCAATGACATGGGAAGGGAAGCATGCCCTGGCTTTTGTCTTGAGTCTGTCGCTACTTGCGAATCCAAGAATTCCTTCAGGAATGGGCAGACTGCCGGCAGAAGGCTGGTGACACGGCAAAGTTCGGTGCAGCAAGCGTGGGTTTGTACATGTGTGTACCGTGTAAGCACATCTGGATGCCGGCGTCATGTGGTTAGGGTCGTGGAGTCGGGGCAGCAGGCAGTATGTGTGTATATGTATATATATATATTATATGTTAAAATATATGACTATGTATACATTGAGCCGATGGTTCTATCGTCGTCGGTCTGTGGCATGATCGATTCTCAGTCCCCGCAGAATTGGTTTTCTTGTCTGTCGTGCTCTCTGTTTTCCTCATGTGAGCGACGAGGGTTTCAGACAAACAGTGCCAAACTTCAGGAAAGCAAAATCAAAGACACCACTACGGGCCGATTCCGAAAGCCGCGGGTGGGTTCGCAAAAAGATTCGGAGCACATCGAGTCGTGCGGATGCCATCCACGATTGTTGGGGTTTGGTAACCAATATATCCTTCTGGGGTCGGGGGTTCTGCATCCAGGTTTGCCACCCACAATCTTCTTTTTGGGTTTGGGTCGGGTTTGCGGTCTGCGGTTTGGCAACCAACATGTCCTTTTGGGAATTGAGTTTTGCCCACCAACCTCGACCTCGTCTTCGTTTAGTTTAGGGTTTGGGTCTCAGCGTTTAGGGTCCTAAGGGTTTGCCATCTGCGATCTTCTTTCGGGGTATTCGGTGTGCCAACTAACATCCTCTTCTTTTTGGATTCTGGGGTCTCAATTTTGTGTTCCGATTCATGTCCAATTTTTCGCGAATCTCAACGGCGAGAGTCGATAAATAGCTCGCGGGGACTGTTGGTGTCGTGATTTGTTGACTTGCGTAGGCTTACAGGGCCATCGATTTTTTCAGGTTTTGCTTGCTTGGGTTCCTGAGTGGCATTGTTGCAGAATGATGAGAAGTGCGGCACCTTAAAGCTCCCTGATTGTACCGCGCAGGCGTCGGCCATCAGATCAGAGGCCTGGAATGCTCTGATTCGAGACAAAGGCTGGCAGCGAGACTCAGAGGAGATCAGAGGTGACGCTGCAGTTTCCAGTTGGGTGCACCTGGTAAAGAAAGACAGGCGCTGGGTCCGTGTACCGCTCATTTGGGGTCGTGATCACGCGCAAGATCTCGTGAAGGCAGTTTGCCTCTAGTTCAGGAGCTGGGATTGTATACCTTGTCGAACTGACATCCCAGGACCCTGTGACAAGGAGCTCTTCATGCTCACCGAGCTACTTCTGGCACTATGCTCGCATGCCTCTGGCAGCAGCTCATCAGCCGTGAAGCACGCCGATGGTGTCTTTGTCTTTGCGCCGGCTGGCGAGTTCAGATCCTGTGCGCTGCTCTTTGTTCGTCTGCTCGACGACGATGTGCGGGCCGCGCGGTCAGAGGAGCCGCTCGGAGCGCGTGGGTCTTCCCGGCCGGGCTTCTGCTTCGGGGGGGGGGGCGAGGGGGGTTCTCCAGCCTTTCGAATTCCAAACGCGAGGAGGCCCAGGCCCGGGCCCGGCCGCTGGGGGACTTCCCGAGCAGCTGCCCGGAGACCGCGCTGAGCACCGCGCTGACGAGGCAGAAGGATGCGGGCGGTGCATGCGCGCAAAGGCTGGGCAGGCTGGCCACGGACCCTTGCCCTGAGAAGTTGAAGGAGCTGTTGTCCTCGTCGCTGCTCGCACGCAGTCCAGCGGAAGTGTGTGCTGACGCACGTAGGGAGTTCCAACCACTATTCTGCTCAAGCCCAAGGAAACCTTTCTTCTTCCCTGGCGCACTAGAGGGGTGGCCGGCGCGGAAACGATGGAGTTCCCTCGAGTATTTGGATCGCCAGGCGGGGCTGGGGAGACTTGGACCTCGCGAATGCTTCCAACCAGTCGGCTTGATCATACCCAGCCATGCAAAGGAGAATACTCGTGGGTTGCGGATTTGCAGCGTTTGAGCTCTGGTGCAGGCTGAACAGGCGAGGGGGGGTTTGGCCGGAGCTTGCTGAGTGCCATCACGACATGTCCGAACGGCTTTGTGCAGTTGGAAAGTTTTCTGCACGTGGCACTTGCATACATGCATGCATGTATGGACACAGGGAAGTGCGCATGCACGTAAGTGTTTGTGACTGTATGATTTTTTTTTGCGTGAGTGCCTGTGCATGTGCTTTCTGGGGGCTGCCATCTGAACTTTGATGGGGCTGTCGTCGTCATAGGCAAGTGCGAGTGCTGGTATATGATAAGCGGCATGCATGATCCTGCTCTTTGCGGCACTGCAGCCTTGCTGTGGACTGGGGGTGCGTAGGCATTCGCATAACGAAGCCTCTGAGGCGGGCCACCGGCTGGTACCGACCGAGATTGGAAGCGAAGTGGGCGCAGATGGCTGGAAGGAATCTTTGGAAAGCCAGTTTTTGTCAGAGTGGGTCCACGACAGGTAGGTGGCGGTGTTCCCTGTTTCCAGAACGCCTCTTTGTTTCGAGCACTGACAGGGAGCTTCCCGAGCCTAACCTTGGCATTCGATGGAAGATCGTTTTTAGAAAACAAGCCTCCTGCCTCGCCTGGAACATCTGATGGTGAGCGCCAAGCGAACACAGCAGTGATGCCCCAGATGCGCCCGAAGTCACGATAGAAAGGCAAACCCTGAGAGGAAGAGCTGATGCCCTTCAGCCGCTTCCTTGAGGAGTCCGTGCTGCGTGCCTATTTGTATATCCCGCCGCAACATCAGCTCTGAACCCCAGCCCGTCGGCTGTGTAAGTGCAGGGTTTTTTCCATAAACAGATGTGCAATCCATAAGTCCATGCGCTTCAGGCTTAATAAGCTACGGGACTCTCTGTGTTGTGTTCCAAGACCCCTCGCCGTCTCCCCAGCACCACCATCCACCATCGCAAGCCGTACAGCCCCTCGCCACTGACACCAACCAACAAGTTCACAAACCTTAATTTCCTTACCGCAAATCCTGCGCATTGACACGTTGCACTTTCTGCACATGCCAGGCTGGACCTGCTTATGGGAAACACATGATTTATGGTCCGTTGTTTGCAAGCACCCGGCCTTGCTTGCAAAAAAACGAGTCTTCGGCACAAAACTAGGGGTACTTGTGCGCAAGGGTGTGTATGTCTGTGGGTGTGCCTGTCATCCCGTGTATGCACAACTGTCGTTGCTATGCAGCCCAGAAGTCCGGTCTCCGGGACCACTATAAACCACAGAGCTATAGAGGGCCATAGATATGTGAAGGGTCGTATATCAAACGAAGATCACTCCTGGTACGGATAATTGGGCGGATGGAGGGCGTTGGGCGTGGATTTCAATTATTTGTGGAGCTTTATCACGCATTGCCCGAGCGAGGCTTCAGTGGCAGCATCCCCATAGAACCAGATGTTCGGACACACTATACCAGTGAAGATTTTTGGCATTGCTCGCATGATACCTTTCCGCCGCGGCGATAATGTAGGCCATATGTAGGCCAGAGGGGTGGTTTATGCACAGGATATTGACAGCCAGAGGGGTGGAGTGCCAGATCCACGACTCTGCCGCCCATGGACCAAGCCCAAGTTCCCCAGACAGCCCCCAGCGGAAGTACAATGTGTGATGGTGGGTGGGAGCGTGGCTGAAGTCACCCTTTGGGCATTCTTGCTCCTTGAGAATCCTGGTGTCCTGAGAGACTAGTTTACAAAGTCTGGAACGTGTTTGTCGTGGGCTGGTATGTTGAGGTCATTCATTTATTGTCGACACGCAACAATAAAGAATTGATGTAAACATATGTTTCGGATCCTGCACTTTGCCAAGTATATTTCTAGTCATCACATAATGATGTCAAACGATCAAACATCGCATAGAGAGACCCTTGAGGATGGCACGGCAGAGACAGAGAGAGAGAGATCAAGCATTGAGATGCCCCAAAGCCTACCACTCAATAAAACAATTGGTGGTGGGGCGGGCCGAAGGCCTGAGGGTCGGCAACGCTGGCCCCTACGCACTGCAGAAAGAAAGAAAGATCAAGCATTGCATTGCAAAGTAAAGGATGCGCTTGCGTTCTGGCGCTGGGTGGTGCGGCCTGATTAGGAAAGCCTTGCATGAGTAGGATATACGGCGTAATGGACTGCCTCATGCGTGAGTATGCTGCCTACCCAAGAATTAGTTTGATGCCTGTCAGAGTTGCTGTGAGGGGACCCTGAATATGTAACCAATCAATATGGCGGTGTGGTACCTGCTGACGTCTGACTATGTACTGTTGCAGGTTGAAATTGACCTTGAACACATTACTCAAGAACACAAGGGAACGCTACTTTGTAATGGTTATGTACCTTGCGCATGTATGGGATTGTTAGAATGCAACAATGCTAAACAATGGGCGTGCACAAACCCAGGCCCCCACAGCAACCTCTCTCCTGTCCTAAGAGAAACCCAGCAAACTCTGAACAGTCAAGGCATCTCCGTAAGATTATTTGGGTTGGGCGGCAATGGTTCTGTGCATGGTCTTTGTGTGCAAGCACCCCAAGCCATGAGCAAGGAACGGTTCAGAGATGTCGGGTATAACGGCGATCCTCGCATCGCTGTAACCTGCATCGATGTTCTTAGGATTTGAAGGTTCTGTTTCTGCTCGCGCCCAAGCCTTCAAGAGAGGGAGCCTTGCCAGGAGTTCCTGGCCCCCAGCTGCTCCGGGGCCCAAGGCCAAACTGCATACCTGGCCCAGCACGAGCTCTTCGAGCAGTGTCCCGTGTGCAGGCAGCACTCTGACTGTAAACTCCGCTTCGGCAGGGCCGCAAAGAGCAGTCTTGGCAGGCATAAACAGGTAAGGCGGGAGCGGGGGGGGGATGCGGGGTTCGGGCCGGTTGGGGGCGGAGCCACCTAGGTCTTGCGCGCGGACATCGCTTTGCCACAGGCATGGCAGCAGGTCCGGTCAGGGACAGAGAGGGGGTGACTCAAGGCTCGGGTGCTCTTAAGTCAACTCCAAGATGCAGCACCGGAAGGTTCTGGGGGCACCATCGCGCTGCAATGCATGGGTGGGAACGAGCAGGAGCCGTCGTGCAGCCAAGGCATCTGGGGTCGTGTTACAAGAACTATCCAGAAATTAAGCCGAAAGGCAAGAGCTTTGCACACAAATGCAGGAGTTCCCGTGAGGCTCCCTGCAAGGCTCAGCATAAGTTCTCTGCTTCAGGACGCTCACGCCCTGCCACTGGGACTCTTACGAACCTCGCCTGCTGAAGTATGAATGTTGGTACACTGCAAGACTGGTTCACATGTCACTGTTGGACAGAAGGCTTTCAGGCCAGCTGGTTTCGGACGTTATGCGGTCATCACTACCGCTGGAGCTTCGACACTCCAGGAGTGTCTCGACGCTGTTTGCCGATCTCAGGACAACTTCTTGGCACAAGTTCAAGGATTCAAGCGAGTGGCCAGCTGGCTCATTCAGTCTTGATTGTAGTTCTTGCCTGCTTGGAAGCGCACCGGCCCCGGGAGAACCCCGATCTGAATGAACACCAGTCAAAAGTGCTCCCAGCACCCTTATTGCCGCACCAAAGGCAAACATGTGAATTCCAGGCCAGCCACTGTTGTTGAGCTTGTCGAGCCAGCTCTACATGTAATCTGCCCAACGGCTCAGGACATGATGTGCCATTCCGACTTGTATGTTATGGCCTAAAAATGTATACAATGCATCAAATCAAAAAGGACATGCAGCCTCATCTCCTCAAGTCCTTCCTTGCAGCCGAAAGCGCTCGCTTCCGATGATCCCCCAAGGCTAGTAGGCCTAGGCCTATCAAGTTGAGAGCTCGCAGTTTCAAGGTTCCTGGTCCCAAAAATACTGCCTGCAACTGCCCAGTTGCTCCTGGCCCCGAGCCAGCGGGCCAAGCTGCATGTGCGCGTGGATGCCGGCACTGGGGCCCAAGGCAACATCTCCCCGGTGAACGTGGAGGAGCTTAAAAGCCCATGGAGTTTGTTTCGTTTTGCGCTGCATGAGCAAACCCGTATGTTTCGGATTACATGGTCTTGTCGATCTCCATGCTGTCCATCTGCGTCTGTCGTGTGTGCGTGGACCTATTCCGGTAAAGAGGGCATGCTCCGAAGAACGAGCTGCCTGCCTTTGAAAAACTCTGAGACACGTCCGTAGCAACATGAATGATAGGACAGTATGGGGGCATTGCAACAGATGGGTCGTCGCAGTCTGGTTCCTGCCTACCTTCCGGCACAACAGCAAGTACATCGGATGTTTCTACTCCACCACTTGTACGCTGCCACGCAGCTGAAGCCGGCCACAGCTTTCGCAGTTTGGAGGTGCAGGCAAATCTGCCAGGCATGCATCTGAAACGCTCTGTCTTCAACCATTAAACTCATTAAACCTAAAGCTACCCAAATTGAGGTTGCATTCAAAGTGAGCTTCCCAACAACAGATGCACACTAAGCCTGTGAGCATTTCGTTGCGAGACTCTATTCGTCTTCACTCCCTGCTTTGCCAACTTATGGTATCTGCCTATAATTTCTACATTCTACATATGCCAACCCAGCAGTGAAGGCACATAACCTGAAATCCTTGGTTTTGACTTTTTTTTGCTTAAGTTCGAATAAGTCCCGTCCGTTCCAATAGAATAGGGCCGGGGCCAACAAAGAAGGACGGACACAAGCGATCCCATCTCTCGAGCCTGCCTGCCCCCGTCTCTCTTTTGTTTTTGGGTGCCAAACCATGAGTCAATCGAGCTATCCATCCAAGCAAAGGCCTGGCGCGTCGTGTGTCCATGCTGCACAACCAAGTCCGCGGCAGGAGCCAGACCTGCAAAAGTATCCGGACTTCCTCGAGGCCGTCCTTCGAATGCACACAGTATATCTTCCGGGTTTCAGATCACCAGAGAACACTCCCTCAACTTCTCTTGTTCTTGTCTGAGCGGTCGCAAGTCTGCATGTTTTTGCATGCTGCGGCTCAAGTGCCATGGCGAGCTCAGGGCCACCGGTAGCGGCAGGGTGGTTGTTGCAGCCCACACCGCCGCACACCTTTGATGTTAGTGCCTCGCACAACTCCGTCCGCCATTTCAGTGCCTGCAGAGTGCGTGCCCTACCGGGTGGTAACATGAGGGCACTGAACCGGGTGGGTCCTGCTTCTGGGGCAGCCGCAGCCTCCGTTGCTCTCGCTGCAAGGGTCACCTGGCACAGGAGGGCACGATGCTCTTCGAAGGCAATCATGACGCTTGTCGATGGACACTACCACATCTACAAGAGCTTCCACGCCACGAAGTACAGCGGGCTCCGCAACCAGCGAGGCGAGCCGACAAATATTGTCTATAGCTTCATGCAACAGCTTGAGAGGATCCACCGAGAGCTTGAGCCCTCGCACATGGCGGTGCTCTTGGACAGTGAAACCTCATCTTCATCCCGACGAGAAGTCTTGCCAGAGTACAAGAAAAACCGGAAGTGTCCCAAAGAGCTGCTTGAGCAATTGCCGAAGGTCATCAAAGCCTGTGACGCCATGGGGGTGCAGTGGCGGTCGCATGAGGACTTCGAAGCCGATGACCTCATTGCCTCTTACACGCGCCGATTTAGTGCTGGTGGGTCCAGTTGCCATGTGAAGATCGTGTCTTGTGACAAAGACCTCCTCGAGCTGGTGGGCGACCAGGTGGAGTTGCTGGACACCCCTCGAGACAGAAATCGTTCTGGTTTTGTCCGGATGGACAGAAGTGAGGTCTGGAACAAGTGGGGCGTTCGACCGGACCAGATCCCGGATCTGCTAGCACTTATGGGCGACTCTGCCGACAGCATCCCCGGAATACCGGGCATCGGAGCCAAGAGAGCCGCAACACTGCTGCAAAAGTGTGGCAGCCTAGAGGCCATCGTCAAGCGGGCATTCGAGGGCACACTAGCAGCGCCAGGCATTTCCCCAAAGATCTGTGGCAAGATCGTGGCGCACGGCCCCAGGGCTCTGGAGTTGCTCAAACACGTAGTAAGGCTGAAGGACGCCTCTGTGGAGAAGGAGGAGCTCGACTGCTTCAAGGTGCCCGAGCGGGACGATGGCTGGCGTGACCGTGTCAGCCTCTTCTGCGACTCCGAAGACATGGCAAAGCTGAAGGAGCGCTTGACCTCCGGCCCAATCACGGGCAAGAAGTGCCAAGAAGGCAAAGAAGCGCCGTCCTTCATCCCATCGCGGCCGGACACGGGGAAGGTGCTCGAAGTCCGGACGCCCAACGAAGCCCGCGAGGCACTTGAGCGCCTGGAGCAGTACCCAAAAGCAACCTTCGCTGTGTTCTGCGTGGGGAGCGATGAGCCTTCGAGGAGCGCTCCATGCCTTGCGATCTACGGAGGTCCCTCCATCGACCTGGGCCACGGCCGCACCAAACTCTGGGTGGACTTGTTGGGAAATTCCGAGGAGATGAGGGGCTTGTGGCGGGGCTTTCTGGCAAACCCCCAAAACAAGGTTTACCACGTCTACGCGGACACGCAGCGTGGCTTGAGCTGGGGCAGCGCACCGCCGAGCATCCCGCGCAGAGGCGGCTTTGTCGCAGACGTCGTGCACCTTGCACGTCTCTGGGATCCCACCTTGAAGGAGGCCAACTCGCTGCCATGGCTGGCGGAGAAGTTGCTGGGCCCGACTTGGAGGCTGCAGCGACCACAAGGTGAAGAGGGCAAGAGGAAGGTCCGTGATCTGCAGCAGAGCAGATGTCGGGACGATTGGGTGCAGTTGTGCGGAGACAGTGCAGCCGCCGTGTTTTACCTCCACCAAGACCTGAGGGCCAGGCTTGCGAAGCAGGCGTGGCAGGCTCCAAAAGAGGCATTACCTGTAGCGACAGCTTCGATGCTCGACTTCTACACAGAGCACTGGCAGCCGCTGGCTATGCTGCTCTCGGACATGGAGCTTCGGGGCGTTCCAGTCCACGGCGAGAGGCTGAAGGATTTAATCACTGAGAAGTCCGCCGCCCAGGAGTTGCTCCGGCGCGCCTTCTGCAGCTGGGCAGTCAGCAAAGGTTGCCTGGATGAGACCTCGGCCTCTATGGTGGATTTGAACTCCAACCAGCAGTTGGCGCATTTGCTTTTCGGTTCTGGTGAAAGAGAGTTCGCCGGCTCTGTCGCAGGGGGCTCCCCTTCGATCCAGCTGTTGCCAGAAGCGGAGCTTTGGTCCCACACAATTCCAGAGCTGAAGGAGCTTTGCAGAGAACGGGGTCTGATGGTGAGCGGCAAGAAGCTGGATCTCGTGCAGCGCCTTTGCGATCCTCAGGCTCAAGTGCAAGGCAGGGCACGGCGTTCCCGACCGAGCCTAAAGGTTCGGGGTCTCTGCCTCGAGCAGAGCACGGTCACTGGCACAGCTCGCGCAGGCAGCGCGCAGCTGACCTTGAAAACCTTGAAAGGGCTGGTGGAGCGGGAGTGCCAGTGGCAAACAGACGCGGCAGAGCCTCTGCAAAGTTTGTTGTCTTGGCGGCAGCATGAGGCTCAGCTGGGTTGCCTACGTCCCTTGCAAGTTGCGTGTCGCCGGGGTCGGGTCCACCCAGAGCTGAACCTGAACGCGGCCACAGGCCGCCTTTTTAGCAGGAGCCCGAGCTTGCAGGGCAAGCCGAAAGGAAGCGGCCACGCAGTGCGATCTGTGGTGGCGGTGCCTCCAGGAAAGCGTTTTTTGGTGGCGCACTATGGCCAGCTCGAACTAAGGCTGGTGGCGCACTTGGCAGACTGCCCCACCATGATTGACATCCTTACGCAGGGCGGCGACATCCATTCCAGAATGGCCTACCGCATCTTCGACGAGGTACGGGACAGCGTGGACGAAGGGAAGGTCGTTTTGGAGGGCGACATCCAGGGAGCGGCGACTGTGGAAGATGTTTTTCCGGAGCTGCGCAAGCGCGCCAAGGCGTTGAGTTTCGCTTTGCTGCGCGGGAAGACGGCTTTTTCGGTGGCCAGCGACTGGGATTTGAGCCAAGAAGAGGCCTCTGCCGTGACTGATCGTTGGTTTCGGACTTTCCCCGAGATCGAGGCCTGGATGAAGCAGTTGGACGAGAACGACCAAACTGCGGTCGCAACGCTGCTGGGGCGGCAGCATCAACTCGACCGATTGAAGGGGCGATCCTTCAAAGAGTTGGATTCGGCAAGACGTGCGGCGGGGAGTACAGGGGTACAGAGCAGTGCTGCAGACGTGGTCTTGAGCGCCTTGGTAAAGGTGGAGCGCTCAAGCGTGCTTCAACAGCTTGGCTATCACCTCGTGCTGCAGGTCCATGATGAGTTTCTGCTCGAAGGACCTGAGGATCATGCCAACGAGGCCTTGGCAGAGCTGGTGCGGCTCATGGAGGACCCCCTCCCATTTAAGCTCAAAGTACCCCTGACAGTGAATGCCAGGCATGCGCAAACCTGGAGTGAAGCAGGGTTTTGAAATTCAATCCAAAAACTGGAGTATACACGGACGTGCGCCGAGAATTACTTTGTGTAGGCAGTTCATGTTGCAGTTTGTCTAGTCTCCAGAAATTCGATGCAAGTCGCTTCCGACAGTGCAGCCGGGAGCTAATTTGCAAAAAGCCGCTTTGAGTTTGTGCCTTGCTGCTGTTCTGAAGTTCTGGTGTTTCGTTGACAACACATGCACACCGAGCACCTGTGCATGCGGTATCTGTTGTAGTCGCCCAGTCCTCCGGGCATAACTCATCGTATGGTCACGGAAATGGTCACGGGATGTCGCGGGTGTCCGCGAACTAGACTTAAGACTTAGGAAGTAGAGAAAGGCTAGGAGCCACTGCAGGTGCCGACAAATGAATGTTGCAGTTGGATGATACTCGTACTAACTATGGAGAACCACATGGAAAGTTAACCCACGATTTCGCAGTGCGGCTCGGATCCCTGCGTCGCACTGCTAGGTCACGTCAGTGAGTCAGATCGGAAGAGAGGGTCCGAGCGAAAAAGTTTGAATGCAGGTTCCCGGCGACAGACCGATAACCGCTTCCTGTTCTATTGAACCCGCCCTATATCCGAAATACAGGCAAGTGAAAGTTGTGCTAAGACTGCTAGCTAGTTGGTGGTAACTCAAGCTATCAGTAGTGGCGGATGGTTCAGGGGCTTTACGGGCCTGGCTCCCTGAAACAGAGCTCTTCAGAGTCCAAGCCTACTCGAGTCCAGGATGTTTCATGATAGTGACGGTTTGAGGGTCCACAGACTTTCGGAAGTCCACCCTGCACAAGGGGCTTGCTGGGTTTTGCGCTGTGTGCGGGACTTCAGATCGAACCCAGCATGGCCTGATCCCCGAGCCTACTGGCAAAGCCGTAAAGCGAAGCACCCATGACTGCGGGCATGTGGGTATGCAAGACGGTGCCCCAGCCTGAGACAGCTAGGTAGAAACACCATCCGAAACGCTTGGCTGCATGATCCTCAAAGCGTGAAACGTCACCGAAGCCGAGGAAATGCTGATTGTCGATCTGGCTCCGGGTGACGTCTTGCATCTCTGATTTCCTGGGAGGTCGTGCGATGATGCTTCGTCATGTCGTCGTCAGTGGCGACTTAGTGAAGCGTAACGGCACATGGAAACTTGGAGACATGAAGTCGGATTCTCTTGGCCACTGCAGAGCCTAGCATAGCCTGCCAGTAATCTTCACAAATCTATCCTCGCTTTCAATGCGATGATGGAACAGTTGCGGCGATGATGCTGTGTTCTCGCACTTATGTCGCCATTCTGCGAGAGATGACAGCATCAAGTCAAGCAGCCAAACGCCTGGTTCTAAAGTATTTGCATTGGGCCGCTTGGCGCCTGGAAGGGTTGTGCAGCCGCCCAGGTACATGCCCAGCGGTTGGTGGCATCAAGTGCGAGCTCTGACACCCTCCATCTCTGCACTCTGTCTGCATTTCAGCAGCCGGCAACATCAGCAGCGACGAGGCACACTTGTGGTTGCTAGTGTTGTTGCGGGTGACTGCTGCGATGGACAGTTATCCTTCGCAACCCGGTGGTTCTGGATGTTCTTGCTTGTGTGGGGAAACGACAATGTCACTGACTGAGCACCATGAAAAACGTTAGTATTTCATGTAGCAGTAGCAGTATTTGCAGTAGTAGCGGGAGCAGTAGTTGCAGCAGAAGCAGCAGCAGCAGC